TAAAGACTTGAGAGATCAAAATAATTATGTTAATACAGTTGAATCATGAAGAACAAATTTTTGGTCCTTCATACAAGGTCAATGAATATATTTGATCATTTTTCCCTTAAAATTTAATGAATTTTTTTTACCATCGTATCTTCAAGCGAGAATTAGAAAAAATAAGATTATAAACACTTATTTTTAAATGAAAATAATTATCATAATTAATGTGCTAAAAATATATAATGATTTACCTTTACAAGTCGTAGTGGTTACTTATCTTCTCTGAGCACCATTGAATCAGGTATCGATATGTAATAATTATGCTAGTTAGTAGAAGCTAATCACATTTTTATATGAATTCATTTAATTTTTCATATAAAATTTATGATTCATAAAAAGCATGTTAAAGAGAAAGAAGAATGATTGAATGATGCCATTATCAAAATCCACCATGTATTAAAAAATTTCAAATACAATTAAAAATACTTAATAAAACCATATATTTATTACAAATTACTTCAAAACTTATGCTCATGAAATCTAAAATTTTGGTCGGATGGGATTAGGAGCCGACTCATTCAGAAAATTGGATCCATCCACTAGTTGATCTTATTATCATGATTTTCTTAAAATCATATTGTCACTTGGATCTTAATCATGTTAAGGGTTCATAATTAAGATGTTTGAAGTTAATAATTCATATTTTAAGAAAGGGATAATTCTTTTAATTAATATGATGTCAAAATTTGATGAAATCTTCAAATTCATAGTTTGAATCGAAATTCTTGGATCAAATCTCCAAAAAATTTTGGAGATACAACACATTAATGTGTCTAGAGAGCAGCACACAATCTCTAAATCTATTTTTTGAACTTATAAGTTTGTACATAGAATTTTTCAAGACTAAAATATATAATGGCAGCTGACATAGACTCTTGATGTCCAAAGAATAGGGAGTTAAATGATATGTTATCTAAAATACTTAATCATTTATTAATAATAATTCATAATTTAATTGAAAAGCTTTTAGAATCAAATTCAGGCCATTCCAAACTTCAAATTCAGCAAAACTTACAGTTGAATTGAATGTTATGAAACGAGAATGAACTCATATAACATCACAAAAGTGATATGACTGAGTTTGACAAGCCCAAATCAAAGCACCTGAAACATATTTCAAATTTTTTGACGATATTAATTAGAATTCTAAATGATCTCCAAACATTGAATGCTTATAATCAAATCAAATCATCATGATGAAATGAATCTAACGAGTGCATTATTTTGACAACATTAAGCATTGTAAAGAACTAAAACATTCATATAAAATCAAGGGGAATCCAATTTGCGGCCACACTCTAAAAGTCTATAAATAGGCTTCATTCTCTCACATAGAGAGGACATTTGGCTGTGAAATAACAGAGAAAACATACTAAGTAAAGGCTTAAACCAATCTTTGGGAGCATCCTCGAACCACCACCCAACTGCTTACATCATACGCATCACAGGAATATCCTTTGGCGAACCACCACTTGATCACCCTAGTCGGACCATTGTTGCCCTAAGCATCATCACAACCATCATTATCACTATCAATTGAATTATTATGACCGAATTATCGACTACCATCATAAACCTATGGTCCTTTGATTCATCATTTTCCCACCTATGATCCTCTAACTATCATTTTCATGACCAGTCCTCTGACCACTATAATCTTGACAACTAAAGTCTTCAATATTATTGCACGATGCATAAATCCTCTGACTATAATTGTAACAACTATGATCCTCTACCATTATTAGTCTCAACTATATTCTCCAATCATCATCCATCAATTAACAGTTTTTGACCAACTATCACTCGACATTGAAATTCTAAAGCACCATCGCCTAATTATGCCATCACTACGGTCCACTCATTCATTTATTGCTTGTCTTTTGTCATTCCATCGCCATTTCTTAACTTACAATTCTCTGATCATACAATCAAACTATGATCCTCTAGACACCTCTCGACTACTATCGCTTTGGCAATGATTGCTGAATGCGATCTTTGAAAATCCATGCCTAACTATAGTATTCTGATCACCATTGATTCCAAGTATGATCCTTCAGCCCCATCACTCGAAATATGGTATATGAA